CGACGTCCGTGTCGGGGGGCCGCACCTGCGGCACTCCAGTGCCGAGTCAGCCCGGCACTGAGTCCAGCCCGGCAGCCATGTCGCGACAGAGCCGATACACTACTCTGCCTGGCTGCCCCTCGTCGCCCGAGGCGACGATCTCCGCTGAGGTAAATCCCGGCACCTCCAGGCTCTGTGTCACATAAACGGGGCGTAACGCCCTGTCAGGGGGGTGTGACTTGTTCAAACGGGGAGCGTCTGTTCCGCAGGAAGGAAGGAAAACCTTTTTCCTGCGGCCAAGGTGGTGCCTTCAAAATTTCAAGGCTTTATTCCAAATTATGAAGCACTAGAATTCGAAAGGGGGGGGGGGGGAAGCAGCTCTTCCAACTCATTAACGTGATCAACATGATTTTTTTTTTCCCCCAGAAATATCTGAAAGTTTTTATTTTTAATTTTTTTAAAGTAACTTCAGCCTTAGGCAAACATACCTCATTTGGAAAATTTCAGTTTGAGCAGTTAGCATTTGGTAAAGTCATGAGCAGCTAGAAACAAGCTTGTGTAATGAGGGCCTGGACCATATTAACTATAGCTGCTGCTGCCTGTATGCTTTTAGCATAGTTTTGGCATAAAAATAATTACAATAGAGTTTTGTAGAATTTGGCTCATTTTCTATCTTAGATGTGCACAGTCACTGACAATCACTTTTTAAATCAAAAGCGGCCGGGGTAAGTAGTCATGCTTTTATTTTATAACACACTTAACTGGAGTAGATTTATTTGTGATGGTGGTCTGTGTCTGTTACCTACCAAACTCTATAGTGAAGTCAGCAGGATTCAGTTCATGGATTATATGACAGCACAACTTCTAATTAAGGCGTTTGTACCTGCAGGAAGACCTTGCAGGCCATATGGTGGATAGCCACACTTATAAGAATCAGAATATGCAAATACCTTATTGCTGGGGAGTTCACCTGTTTTATATATAAGTATTTATACAGTGAGAAACAATTGGATTTACACTTTGCTTTCTTTTGTACCAAACAGGCTTAGAATGGCTGGAAATTAGGTGCCAGCCTGGATGCAGTGAACAGTCACTATGCCAGGTCTCGCTAATGCAAAAACCCTGGTTAGCCCAATGCTAATCTCTGCTGCTCTTGCTGGTGCTGCAAGAGTTTGTCTTCATACAAATGCTTAAAACTATTCTTTTGCCTTTTTTTCCCTCCTATGCCAGAATGCTCACTTTCAAATTAAAAATCCTCCTAGCAGCAATGCAGACTTCATTAATCAGAGCAGTGACTGATCTCAGTGTTGCAATTAGCAACCTGCTGTTATACCTGAAATTATATATTCAACTGGCAAAATAATAACTATTGAATTGCATTATCCTTTACACAAACATTTTGTGAGGTTTAGATGTTTAACCCATGTGAAATGTCCTCTGATGCTCAGCAGGGAGGCGTGTTCTAAATAATACTGGGTATCAAACATTTCTGTAGAAGAGATGCAGGAACATGATTAGTTCCCTCTTGTGGGTAATGGTAAAAATTCGGTTTAAAGCTAGAACTGAGGAGCTACCATTCGGGAATTCATTAGAAGCTGCCTGTACAAGAAGACTACTGCACTAATTACACCGTTCCCAGCATAGCTGCCCAGCATGATGGATGAGGCTACACCAGTATAACTTAGCGTTTGGTTATATATACACGGTTCTTTAGAAAAAGCTCCATATCCAGACACTTTTTTTTTTTTTTTTTTTTTTTTTTTTTTTTTTTTTTTTTTTTTTTTTTTTTTTTTTTTTTTTTTTTTTTTGCAAAATAGCGGCATGTCTGCACATGCAGTTGTTGCATTTCAAATGAACATCCTACCTGACAGTCTAAAATAACTTTAAAATGGAGACATTTGCTTATTTCTGTGAAGGAAAGGAAATGTATTATCTTGATACAAGGCATTACTTTTCATTAGTGTTTATGCTGGAGTATAATTATAAACACTTCTTTAACCATTAGTTACTGCAGAACAAGATGTATAATGAAACCTTTAATTCCAGTTCTGTGAAAAGAAATAAAGCATTCAACAAAACCCATTTTGGCTAAGTGACGTGTTTAAGCCTGTTAGGAGCCTATACTCCCTTTATAGAAAACGGAAAGGTGACTGGAACACATCCAGAAGGCATTTCAGATCCTAGGCAGTATGAATCACCTTCTAAAATTGTTTGCATATTTCCACTGCGTTCCCAAATTGGATACCTTAATTAGATGATTGAAGTTAGTGAAGATTAATTTGGGCCTAACTGCCTAAAACTATTAGGTGATAAGGACATTAACTACAAGAAGCCCAAAGATGAAGATGGTGGGGTAACTATGTCCCATTGATTTGATGATAATGTCTTTAAGATAGACAAAAGGGCCTTAGTTTTGCTGTCTGTTAAACAGGATTCAGAACTTTTCAATTCTTTGTGCCTCTGAAAGAAGATATTGAGAATGTTAAGAGTGGCTTAAGAAGAACTGGTTGCTTATTGGTCACACAGTACTTAAAAGGAAGTACTAGGTCAATACCATCATATTGCAAGGGAATTTTATTCATGTTTTTGCAGAAGAAAATTAAAGGTAGTAAAATGTTTAACTTATAGAAAATACTTTGTTTTGGATGATGAAAACTATCATGCTTTGAGAGCCTTTCGGTAATCAGAGCCTATTAAAGTTTTATGTAGAATGACTTTGCTTTTGAAGGGAACCTGTTTGGGAGGCTATAATTTTAGAGGAACTAGGTAGCCCTGTATTCTGCATGACAATTTAAAACCAAAATGGTATGTTCTGGTTCCCTTACATGTTTCCCTTGTTCCTGCGTAGTTCAAAGGGGATGAAGTGTCATTTGGCTATTCATAACAAATGATATGACGGTAAAGTATGAATGAGTTAGGTATCTTTGTAGTTCTTTATGTTTTGAAACAGATACATACCTCAGCAAAAATGACTTTTTACAATAGGGATTTCCCAAAATTACTTTAGAATTTATGTATTTTAAAAAGTTATTTTTGGAACCTGGACTGCTTGATCTGAGAATATAAGAAGTCTTCCCAGTAAGCTGAGAGAAAAACATTTCTAGAAGCATGTGTAACCTCTGTAGTAACATCAGTGGTTTGAATATTTTTGCAGCACTTTTGGTTAATGTTTAGACTAATTTTCTGCTCTTTATTTTTTCCTTCACGGACAGGAAGAACTTCATCGGTTGTATCCTTTTTGTACCTTTCATCCTTCACATGTAGGAATCTTCAGAAAAAACAGCTGAGATGGATTTCTTCCTGCTAATAAATCTACACAATGGTATTTTAGTTTGTGAGTTTTCAATTATCAGCACCGTCTGTATGAAACAAAAATGATTAAGCATTTATTTCAGGGGAAAGTGTTTTTTGCAGTGTTAGCTGGGGGGTTTGCTCAGATTTTGCCCCAACTTGGCTTCCATTCATGCTCAAAAATCTTTAAACCAGCTTGCAGCCTTGAGAAAGGGCTGGCAGACCCATTTTATGATGCTATAACTCTCACTTCCTTAGGAAACAAGGCTAAAAATTGGATTTGTGGACTGATCTGTTTTTAAAAAAAAAAAAATGCAGTATACCCCACAGACAGTTGATGTTATACAGCCAACAAAAGGTAGTAGAAGCAGCCTTCAATGGTACCTCTTCATCTGTAATGTTAATTCACCCTATCTTTACTCTTGGAAAGATCTGAGTAACCTCCTAAGAAAAGACACCCTTGTCTTCAAAGGTTTCCGTGTTTAGAACCTATCTAGTGATTTTTTTGCTCCACCTTCCTTCAACTGGAAAAACACAAAACCCCAGTTCTATTTTAATAAAATGAGTTTCTCTGGGAACTGGAATACATCCACTGCAGGTATGTGGGTGCTCTCATCAAAAACCGGATGGGCAGTTCCTGTAAATGATACCTGGGATTAAGTCTCTGCTTAGAGATAGGCAAAATATTTGAGAAGGACTGGAGGAGAGAGGGGAGGATAAAGAATGTTTCGATTATGGAAAGGAAATTTAATAAAGTTTGCACTGATGACTTCCTTATGTAGATTACATTGTATTATTTAAGATCAGGAATTGCATTGGGTATAATTTGGTTATCAAAAATACATAGGAATGGCCAAGCTTTCTAGACTCTCTGAGTGACTTTCTAACTTCTTCATGTGGTGGGTGAGCCCCCAATGTCCTACATGTGTCTCCCATTAATAACATGCTGCTGAGGCTGAAGAGAAAATGCATCCTTCAGCAGGTATGTTTCTCCTTTATAGGAGTTGCATGTATGAGTGAAGGTGGGTGGGCTCTTTTGGACTTCTGAATGTTAGTATCTCATATAAACTAGTCGTTTCAGCTCCTTTTGTAGTCAGTGGGATGCTACCTTTTAACTCCAGGCGGCAGGTTGGTTTTCTCATCCCTATCTGGAGGTGCTTGACTTTGAGAGTGTGTTCATCTCCACTGACTCTAGGGGGAGCCCTGACGACTAATTTAGACTAGAAGCTTGTTTAAAATGACTATAATCTGAAGATGGCTACAGGTGAGGTGAACTACCTTGAGGCTGTAAGTAAATTCTTTCTATACGTACAACAGCATCTGCAGTATCCATGACCTTCCAGAGGTATTGTGAGGGTGACTGTATTAAAGATTGTGAAGCTCTCAATTACTTTGGCAGGGGATCCCATGTAGTAAGTATGCAATATAGTCAGATAAATAACTAGTGCTAAATATTGTATTATACAACATTTAGTTCTGTGAGCAGTGAACTAAGGAAGTCTGTTTCTTATGAATTCACATCCCTAAATTGAGTTCTTACAGCGTTTCTCAGATACGTAACAGAGAGAGAGAGCTCAGCTTTCAGTCTTTCCATCATGTGGGCAGTAATAAGGTCTGTCTGCTTCACACAGACGCCTGTTTTCATGAAACTTGTAGGGATTTGATATATTGGAGTCTGCCAACCCTCTCTCAACTTGGTTAAAGCTGACTAGCAGGTACAGAAGTTGTTTGGGGAGATGTATGCCAGCACACACAACTCATTTCCTTTGGAAATACAGCTAGCAAAAACCCCACTACTCACCAAATAAAGTTCTTTAAAACGCAGCTAAAATCAAAACCTGAAAGAGCAAGCTTGTCCTAATTCCTGGTATTTGCAATCCCAAATTGCTTTCTGAACCATACACAATAGGCAGTCAGAGGTGAACCATTTAGTATAATAAGGGCGCAGCAATGTATTTTGAGGTTATTAGGAAATGGCTTTTTCATGAAATGGATCCCACCTCATTAGCATTAGAAATCCTTAACAACAGTTATCAGCTGTCATCTGTTCCTTTACAGATTCTATTTTATGTAAATGGAATTTATTACCTCCTTTACTTCTTGGCAACTCTTTCAATGATTGTTTATAAAAGTAAGTTGCATGTGTTCTAACGCAGAAGTAGGCTGTGTGCTTATAATATGTTTGTGTTTTGTCAATACGTCTACTGTATTTTTGTGGCTTATTTACCCTGTGTTATTCTACAGGTCAAGTTTTCAGTTATCCAGATAATTTTTTGGCTCCTGATCTTGCATTGCTTTTTATTATGGCCATTCTTGAAGCACTCCGATTATACTTGGGTATGTCGTGTTATCAAAGTGCCCTTTAAGTGAAATATTAAAATCTGTAAATGTTAATCATTCTAAAATTGGGTGTGTGTCAAAATATGCCAGTTTAGGAGGCTAACACATTTTTGGAGAATTTTGTTCATTTATGTCATTAAACGTTATCTGCCTGGTCAATGTGTTTGGCCGGAGGGCCGAACAGAATTCACTCTTGTATGAACTATAATCTATAATACCATTAAAAACGAGTAGTTGGGGTGTCAGAAAACAATCTAACTGTGACTACTTCCCAGAGCAGCGTGTAAAGGGACTGCGTGCAATCCTGGTACAGACCCTTGTCTAGGGCTTGCTGAGGCTTCTTAAAGTCCATTTTTTTAAAAACAAGGTTACTATTAAAATCTGTGCCAGATGTTCCTAAGACATTTGTACAAGGTGGGTCTCTGTTGAAGTCAGTTGAGTTGCTGCAGGGATGAATTTCGCCTACTACATTAAAGCTGTCTGCGTATGTTTGCTTGGAGCCTGGTGGATGAATAAAGAAGCGAGTTTCAAGTCTATGTAGTTAATGTAGTCTAATGTAGTTAAATAGCAAAATCTGCTGAGACTGGCTTGGAAATGAGGTGCAAGTACGAAATGAAGTGCTGCTTTTCACAATGATATTCATATGAAATAGAAATAGGTTACTGGGGAATATGGTAGGTTGGAAATTACATAAGATTTTAAAATCAGCATTGGATGTCCTTAAATGTGCACTGTAGTCACTGAGTTGTCAAGGTTAGGTGCAAAGAAGTTGGGGGAAAGTTTGATGGTCGACTAAGAAGGCCAGATCATGTGATCCGACTCTGGCATCTGACTTCAAAACTGATTGTCCGTGGAGAAAAAAGGTAGGTGTTGTGCCTTTGAGTATCAGCTGTTCTTTTATTTAGATTAACTTCACAATCAGGAAGAAATTGATAGTCCGTTGGTCTTTCCATTTATTCTTAAATTTACTGACAATCGCCTTGATTCAAGGCAAATTTCAATGCGCTGTCAAATGTAAGAATATACTTGCGCCTTTCTTGAACAGGGTTACCCTGTAGACTTGCCACAACAAATCAGAGACTCATATTAGCTTTTTGTTTCCTCCAAGGTTCAAAAGGTAACCTGACAGAAGAAGAGGCTCCATTAGGGCTCAGTCTTGTGATCACAGTCGGAAGTGTCATTCTGTCTGTCTATTTCCTGGTGTGGCAGACTTACGTACTAAAAGCAGATGTCATTATAAATGCCATTCTTCTCTTTACCTACGGGCTTGAGTCAGTGCTACAGATCATAGCCATTGCTGCTTTTGTCAGCTGAACCTCAGCTCTGTTTGGCATGACACATTTTCCCAGCACATTTCTTCTGTAAATGTTTTTTTAAAATATCCCATATAGTTGCTCTGTTTCACCATCTCATCAGCTAGCTCATTTATTGGCAAAGGCCAGAGATGATTCAGCTAAAAGCTGTGAGAATCATTCAGCTTAATGCTGACGTATTCGTTAGGGATCTATATTAAATATTCATTCCTAGCACAGAACAAATAGCAGCCAGTGTATCATCTACCTATATGCCTTTGAGATTACATTAGTTTTAATGGCATTGCAGCAACATACGACTGAAGTAATATGTAAGTGAATCAGGCTAATACAGTATGGACTCATTTTTGCCTTACCACATAGACCCTTGTGTCTGAGGCCACAGTTTTGTTTTATTATGCACCTTCTGCTCTCATTTGTGTTTCGGACCCCAGTGGTACTTTCCCTGACTTTAGTACGGCACTACCTGATTTATCCCAACGGGAGACAGTTGAGTTTCATGCATTCACTGAGAGCTGAGCTGGTGTTTGGGCAGCTGGTCCTTAGGGACACAAAGGGCAAAGGCAGTAGTGTGTGTTTGTTTCAAATAGGGTGGCCTTAAGATGAGCATAAACATTCGCACGCCTTTCTGTCCTATTTAAAAGTCAAACTGATTGCTGCCAAACATGTTTCTATTCAGTTTTAATATATCTCTTTCCATGATTCTGCAAATATTACTACATTCAAGCCTTTTCTGTTAAATGAACTGTGTGCAAGTAGAGATTTTTCACTGTATCAAAAATGCGTGCATAATAATGTAAACCTTGGGAAGTTTGTGGGGTTTTTGTACAAGCAGACAGTTTTGTATTCAGAATTTCTTATTTTTGTATTTATTTATTCAAATAAATAATGCATTAGATCTAGGCACCATTTGAAGTGCAGAGTGTCTTGTTCAGATCCTAGGGTACAGTTAAGCTATGGAAAGGAAAACTAGGCGAGACTATTTGCAAAAGAGTCTTCTGATCCGGCTGCTTCTGTATATAGGCCATTCCCCTGCAGTGGGAAAGAGAGTTTGAGTTCTGTGCTAATTTATACTCCCCAGGAGCTGAAAATGCAGTGGTGTAGGTCCAGTATTGTCTCCGCTACACTGCTTTTTTCCTTCCAGTGATGACAGAAGGGAGCAAAAGATGTAAAAGTTCCTGCAGAAGCACCCGGATTGATAACTCAGTCATACTCCGGGGAGCTCTTTCCAAGGCCAGTAACACCAGCTTCCATCCATGTTATGCCTCCCAGTAGTCAGAATCAAAACATGCACTTTGGCATGAATCTCCTTGGGTCGGATCCTCGTCCTGTTCAAATCAGTGGCACAAAACTTTTGTTTATTGTGGTAGGAGCAAGATTGCACCCATGAAGACAATGTGAAAGCAGCAGAACCGGGTGCTAAAGAGCAGCCAGGAAATTGACTGACCAAATGTTTCTATGTGTAACCTACACAAATCAAATACCCACCCATTTCTCTTTCCAAATTTGCTATGCATGTTGGAATGTGCACATCACACACTTGTTAAAAAGAGTGACAAACATACCAAGCTCTATCTACCCTAGTCATGATGAAAGCCTACCAAGTAAAACCCTTTTCTGTACACATAAGAATAAAAGGACACTTATTTCCTGGTAGTTAATTATACCTGCCTCGTGTGAAGGTGTGGAAATAGAAAATCTGACAGGATTTAAAGGAAAAATTGCTAAGTGGAAAAAAAAGATCACCTGGATGCAGGTGGTATGGCAGATGGGGGTCACTTGTTAAATTCAAGTTGTAACCTCTGTGTTGTATCTTCCTTTCTTCTTGTGCTGTTCAAGGACTGTTACAAAAAGAATGCAAAATACTAGCACAACCTGAGGTAGCAAAGACTGAGAGTATAGATGCAGGACATACTAGCACAGCTAGCGGAAGGTGCTCCTACCCCTAGTTGTTTTAACTGACTTCCCACCACAGGTCACCAGCCATTCAGCTTTGGCCCTACAACTGTTCGTGTCACTGAGCTGTAAAACCAGATCACTAGCCTAATCCGTGCATAAAGTAGCCCTCCAAAATGATTGTTCTGGTGAAGGTGTTGATTAGGTGGTGGCGGCCACCCATGGCACAGGAACAAGTTCTGTTTCTGTTTATCCTCACAGCATGGTATGGTCAGATGACGTTTGGGACAGTTTGCTGGATTGGAGAGCACTTACCATACAAGTAAAAATAATAAGTGTGTTTTACTATTAATAATACAGATAAAAAACATGAATTAGCAATGTGCATATGATAATAAACAAAAAATCTTGATCTCAGTTCAGAGCACCACCTGGTGGCTTACAGACCCCAGTGGTCACAGACTCCAGGATGGCCATTAGTGCTTGCTGGGGGGGTCAGCTGACCCCCTCCCCCCAACCTGGATTTACAGCCCCAAAAGGGCAGAACAGTTGGATTTCATTTTTCCAGTTCAAGATAAAATTGACCATAAACTTTTTCTGATTAGATAATCAGATACTCAGATATTTCTGCTGCTGTCAGTCCCTCACTGTGTGATGAATGCAGGAGACGGCAGAAGATACCTGTAAGCTACAGACAGTTCCTTCTTCTCAGATATTCCCAGGGTTTGAAAAGGAATTGTCGCTTATGTTGGTGACTGATTTAATGACAGATTCACTCCCTGCTGAGCTAATAGAAAAACCCAAAGTGGATCAGGCCCTGACCTCAGAGTATTTTTTCTAATCAGTGACACCTTTTTCCAGTCTGTTCGCACTGTTCAGAGGAGCCAGGGCATGGCATAGTAAAGCCATTGATGATATCTGCCAGACATAAGATTGCTTTTAATTATGAGGCCCAGCCCTTCTGAAACAGGATGAGCAAGTTGGATGAAAACGGCATTAAAAATTTAGAGGAACACGTATTTTGAGGAGCTCGGTTTGGGTGTTGTTTGCTCTGCAAGGAAGAAACCTTTGTTCTCAAGCCATCATAGGGGTGTCTGCCGCCAACGTGATTTAAAATGCTGATCCCGAGAAGCAAGTTAGCCTCCTGGGATTTCAAACTCAGAGATGTTTTTTAGAGATAGGACTTTACTGGTCCATGGCCTTTTTTGTGTTCCTGAGCAGGCAGAAACAACATACAGACCAAGCTGTAACTGAAGTGCTATGTTCCTCAAGTGCCAGTCAGCCGTTTTAGTCACAATATGAGCAGCTTTGAGCTGTGGGAGGAGTAAAGCTTGAGATGGGGGGACCTGCGTTCATTTGTTTCTGCCTATGGGAACCAAGCAAGCAAAGCTGGCATACAAGAATTGCTGCTGGGGAGTAGGATAATTCCCCATCTAGCTTAGTGCCTTTTGTCCCATTTGGACCTGCATCAGCTGTTGCAGGGAAGATGCAATAAACTCAGTTGTGGTTTTCTTCCTTGCTTGGAGGGGAATTTCTCTCCTCTACTTAGCAGTTAAGAGATTTCCTACAGGACACAGTACTTCACAGCAGCCCACTGTGACTATCTTCATAATGAACGTGGGGGCCAAAGCTGCCAGATAGCAAGCAATTTAGTGCCTTAAACATGAGGTATCTTTTCCACACAATCCTTCCAACTACCTATTTGCATCCTGGGAAAGTCAGCTCAGCCCAGGAGTTGCACTGAAACACCCAAGTGGTGAATGACGCATTTTAGTGGGTAAGGATCTCTTGCACAAAACCTTTCAACTCATAAGGCCTGCTGGTCTCCAACACAGCTTATATTTCCCATCACGTTTCCCTCAGTGAGAAGGGCTCTCCTTTCTGTTGACTGATATCCCTTCTCCCTCCCTGTGTTGTGGTTGATACTCTCTAGATGCTTCTTCTCCTAGGCATGGCTGTATTTTCATGGTGCACGCCATACTTGTGGAGCACCTCCTGGGAGCTCACTGGCATTGCGGCAAGGAGGATGAAGGGGCCCTGGGTGGGTGCGCAATATCGAGTGTCTGCTCATGTCCTCCTGCAGTGGAAGAGGACATTTCTTTCGTCGAAGCTGAGCTGCGAAAATCTAACTGTCATTCAGGAAACTGGCTCTCCCTCTCCTCATCCAGCTCACCCTGCAGCATTCCTCCCGTGACAACTCATCGGGGCGTTTTCTGCCACATGGCTTCCTGGACACGGGCCAAGGAGAAAGCTGAGCACTACCCCCCATATTGCGGCACGTATTGAGAAAAACCACAGTGACAGGTAACTCTACAAGCATGGAGTTACGGGAGCCACATATCCTCCACTCTCATGTCCCGTGGTGGAAACGTTTTCTTATTTCTTTCTCTGGTGTGTAATGGCGTTGCACTCCCACTGCAGCTATTTCTTCCCTGGGGCAAGGAATAGGGGGTATCTCCTCTTTCAGCAATGCTCTCTTGGGAAAACTGAACGACCTCCAAGGTCACTTCCTTGCTGTCAGACTTGGCTTCAGTAGACATGGCTTCAAAGCATATTATATGGCTGGTGGGGGAGACCTGCTATACACGTGCTCTTTGACAAAATGATCTCATAAACTCCATTTTTTAAAGAGGTCAGGCTGGCCGGATGGATCTCACATGACTCCTGCCATTCCTGCAAGAGCCATATGTCCAGCTGATGTTTCCCAGCTAAATGATCAGCACCTGAGCTGATTCCATCATTTTAAAGAAAAGTGCTTAAAAACTAAAATCTGGGAACAAATGAAACTAGGCGTCCTTTTAAAGTAATAGTCTGCCCATGCAAGAGACCTTTTTCAGAGTTCAGTTCCCTTCTAGGCCCCGAGATACACGGTCAGTAGGGCTGAGTTGGCAGCACGGCAGATCCCAAAGCACAGTTCAAACGTCCTCTCCGTGTTCTGGCAGCAGAAACTCAGGCGTGTGCTTGGACCACCCTGACAATTTCCAGATAAGGCAGGCAGCACCCACAGCGGTAAGGACAAGTGTGCCCTCTGCCATATTGTCATTATTGCCCCTGGCTTTGGGTCCTGCTGCTCAAAAAGGAGCAACAAGGGACTGTGTGAAGAGGCTCAGTGATTCCTGATGATGCAGGTAACATAGCTGTACGTTAGCAGAGGAGAGCTGCCTGCGCCTACTGCTAAGGAGCAATTCCTGCTCGGGCTGCCCCATGCTGGGGTGACCTGGGGGGCTTGGTGGCTGTGTAACCCCATGGGGCACACTGCCTCTGGGCCGGGTACCGTGGAGGGTGGCCCCGCTCCTCGCCCGCTGCTGCTTCCCACCGACCTGGCCAGCCTTTGGGTCCAGCCCTGTGGGCGTCAGCGCAGGCTAGGGGCTTTGGGTGCCGGCGGGGGGAATGGCCCTATTTGCTCCCTCCCTCTCCACCATGGTGACTTTCCCCACTGCCAATGTCAAGGCAGAGACAGCAGGCAAGAGCGGAGCCGGAGGAAAAACAGCCCTCCAGCCAGCGTGGAGCTGCGGAGAAGGGTGCCGGGCTGCACAAAAGGCGCCTTGTTCCCCCGCGAGGCGGTCGGGGCCACGCGTCCCCTCCCTCAGCGGAGGTGGAAAACCCAGCTCAACGCGCTCCTTCGCCGCCTCTCGCTGCCTTCGCCCTCCGCCACGGGACCAAAACCGTTCCTGGGCCAAAAA